GGTTTAGTTCATGCTTACAAATAACCAAACAAAAAAACCCCTACATCTTACTGAATTTCTCAAGAACTAGCAGAGCACTGTGTTTCAAAACTGGACATGTGTTCCTTTTTCAGTTCTGATGCCCAAGTATATTGCACAATTTTACAGATTATGAACTTTATCTTTCCTGTTTACTTTTCCCTATTCTAAAACTACAACTCCTTTGATTTCATTTATACTGAGAAATCACTGGCTACCTTGAAATGCACATACAATCCAAAGTTGTCTCATATTTTTTACCCACCTACATGAGGAACAGATAAAAGGTTTCATTTGTTTCTTTTTTAAAGGGCTCTTCTGCTAATCTCCTGCTTCATTTAAACGCTTATAGCAAAACATCTTGGTTAGAAACCCCAGTAACTAGAAATGTGCACTCTCTATACTTTTGTCTGTACTCACAGAAGCACAGACAAGAGCTCTCTTCTGCCCACTTCAGGCTGCAAGGTGAAGATACTTGAATGTGTAAAGCAGAATTATTTTGCTGTTTATTTTTAAAATGTGACATCCTCTTCTCACCATTTTTTAAAATTGTTTTCTTCCATCTCCACAATGATTTTCAGCAAGATAACTCTAACATCCTAACAGAAAAAAGTAGATGGCGTAATTCTGTGCCGTTAGAACTACCTGACGAGGTCAGTTACAAACACGTATTTGCACTCTCAATGCCATTTACACATAAGACAAATCAAGAGAATGTCCTACTGTGTTTTCAGTAACAGATATTTGAAAAACTTTATTCTGAAGTGATTTGAGCCAATGAAAGATTCCTTGCATTAGACTGACATCAGAGGCTGAATTTCGGCACAAAAAAAAAAACTATTGGCCGTACTAGTTACATCACTCCAGGTTAACATCCTTAACAGTGATGATATTAAGTCATCAGATTTTGAACTCGTTACATTTAAGTATGTTTAGACCCTAGTCACTTAAAGCAGAACATAATTCTAACATATTCCAGCAATAAGAAAAATGTGATTAATAAAAAA